AAATTGCAATGATTTTGTAGAAACTTTGCTTATATCTACTTTATTACAAGTATATAAACCTCAAATAGAATTTATAATATATAATATAATATAAAATATATTTATTTAATATATAAATACATTGTATAAATATGTATATAATATAAATATTAATATATCATAATATAAAATGTTTATAATAAATATGACAATCTGTTAAACTTATTTTCACTCTTACTTGCGACAATTTGACTTGTATACTTACGTTGGGAAGCAAAATTCTGCTCTTACAGCGAATTTTCGCAAGAGGAATATACGAGATAGCTAATCAGAATTCACAAGGAATACGCAAAGGGGAAGTCTGAGTCTGTTAATTGGCGATTCGAGTTCCGCGAAGGAGCGCAATATACATATAGGGAAACGCAGAAGATATAGGGTGGCGAACTCCCTCCTTTCTTCCTCTCTAGAGATCACGTTTGTGGAAGTAAAAGCGAACGCGTTCGATATTGCGGCACTTTGCACGTAATACCATTACCGGGTGGTGCGCGACATTTAAACTGCATTCAGACGACGGAATGGTGACGCGGTTATTTTTTGATTGGACCGAGAATGCGCTCGCGAGACTGCGATAACAAAAGTGACGGCGATTGTGAGCTAATTAGAATACGGATTCGTTCGGCGTCGGATTCATTTCAGGAATAAATAAGCGCGAGAACGCGTCCTCCGAATGTCGATTGAAAAGAATCGCGGATTTATTAATGCAGCTGCGCGCTCTCTCTTTCTCTTTATTAATGAAACTCGAAAAAAAATGTTTATTTTTTAATTTTTTTTTTTTTTGAGAGAGAAGCGTGAAATTAGTATTCCAAAATACACGCAAACGAGGGAAGATGGTTCGTTACGAGGTATACTGCGCAGATACTGCTTAGAAAAAGAGTAATTAGGAAAATAATTAAAGACGCAGAAGACGATAAAGAGGATATTTTCTGTTAAAAAAAAGCAAAAGACATTTTTAACGTCTTTATTGTATCAGGTGATTTGCAACGACCTGTCAAAACTTTTGACAGCTTGTTCGGGAGTCAGTTTTAATTATGCTCTATTTTAAGTTTGCATTCTGACTCAAGAAGTACATTCTGAGTGCTGTTATAACTCGTACTTACGATTATTTTCGAATAATTGTTAAAAAAATTTCTAGATAAAGTATTTTTTAATTGCAACTAAATATTAAATCTATTATTTAATGAAACTTTGATCACTTCCTATTATAGGAAGGACATCGCAAATACTGCGTCAAAAAAAGTGATTAGACTTGAAAATAATTAAAGACGCAGAGGACGATAAAGATATTTTCTGGAAAAAAAAATTAACGTCAGATTTATGTGATAAAATTTCAATGTTTCAATTACTCTCTCGCTTTTCATTTGTCGCTATTCATTGAATAGCGTGGAGTAATTGATATTGTGACAGGAATATATCTTAAAACTCTGGATAAGCCGCACAGTGTAATCGCACAGAATGCGATATCATAAATCATATATACATAACGAGTGTCGATTAATTATTCTCGCGCGCGATTCAACAGCGTATCTAAAGATAAAATCGTGGGAATTCGCTGGTCGGCGCCAATAAAACGTTGCATTGTATATAAGAACGTTATCGGAAAATCGAGTGCTGCTTCTTTCAATATCTCGTACCGCGATTCTACTCACACTCGTGTATATATTAATAGGAATACGCGTTCAGAATTTCTCATTGCTTTGTATGGAAATTAGAGAATACATTAGAATTACATATTTCTCATTTTATATGTATATAATTTATATTTAATAATTCATATCGATATATAAATATATAATTTTAATTATGTATTTATATATGTGTAATTTTATTAAGTATAATATTAAGTATATAAGTAAAATATTTTTGTATAAATAAAATTTAGTATAACAGATATTTTTATTTGAGGAATATTTAATTGGAATTAAATTTCAATCACTGTGCAATAAAGATGAATTAATTAGTTTAAAAATTGTCTAATATTTTAACGTAATAATGGAGGATTATCTATATTTAATTCGGTAATACAAAATCAACCAATATTTGAACTTAGTAATTGGAAAATTTAATATACAATAATTTTCAATACGCATACACAAACACTTTGTTAAAATTCAGGTTCGGATGACTCGTTTTCATAGAGGTTTCATCATGTCGCTTCCGGCAGATTCTCGTCGACGGAGCCACATTTCATCGACGCATAATAAATGGAAAGGCCGCGTTCTTTAACGCGACAGTGAGCTAAACTCCGAACCGTAAATCGTTTCTCCATTTTATATAGGAAAAGCGTATTCGGTGCCGTCAAGGCATTCGCTCATAAATCACACCGTGCGCGCTTGCGAGTTAAAATCGCAGGGGGTAAAAAAAAAATATATATATCGGATAAAGGAAAAATCATTTGGTCCATCATCGGACCGATATCGACCATATTGAAAGGCACATATATTTCAGGCATTTCAGAGATGCGTATATTCGTTCAAATTAATCGCAGATGGATTGTTCCATCAATTAAAATGCATTATCGCGTATTACAAATATAATCTGCATATCTTGAATATTTAATGCATCTTTAAATATTCAGTCGTATCATCATATATATATAATAATTTATTATTTAAAGTCGATGTTTTTTTGCAAAAAAATTTTTAGGCATTTTATCGATGTTGTAATTTTTTTATGTGTATATATAGATCTCTCTTTCTCTCACTCAATCACGTTGCGGTCAATTCTCTCGGCGAGATCGCGGCTAGTTTCGGTCATCGACGGGTCCGTGATAAATGAAGTTACGTCACGACGCCGGCGCCTTGGTTCGATAACGTCCGGCGGTTCGCGGCGATCAAATTTAATTTTGATAAAGAAGATTTATAAATATGGGATATCGCGTACACCCGCGCCACGGCGGCGCGGCAGAGTGTGCTCGGCTTTTATTTTTCCGGAAATACGAAATCCAATTTTCGATAAGACCAGCTTACACATATAGACTGGCCATTCCAACCCTCTCTTTCACTCCTCCGACTATTTCTCATCGCGCTTGGGGTTGTGCGTTCGAGAACATTATTTCGGAGCGAGAAGTTGGCTCTTTGCCGGATATGTGCGAATGCAGACCGATACATTCGACGTGTATCATCTGAAGGTTCGCGAGATTATGAGAATTTTTACAAGTTTTCGCGTATGCGATTTTTATTGTTAGATGTGAAACCGGATTTAATTTCGAACGTTGATCTAAAATTTATTTACGTCTACAGAATGGGGAAATTATCTTTACGCAATTTGGAAAGAATAAATTTTCTTGCGCGCATATATATTTATATGTATAGATTTGAGGTTTCTTACAACAAAGTTATTAATGTTATTTTTTTTATTTTTAATATAGATTAGAAGTACAGATCTTTTAGAAAAGCGAGTCTTTCATTTTTGTAGAAACGCATGTACAGACCATATAATATTGGAACGTGTATGAATTTGTACGAATAAGCTCGATTATATTGAGATATATCGATTATTTAAATTATACATTGCGAGTGCTCGTGAACATTATAAAATACGACGATGTTATACAAAATTTTTCCAGAGAAAATGAACATGGTCTTTCGAGTAGCACCGACACGTACATATGCGACATTTTAATTAAAATGCTGGAAACAAATATTGATACAAATCAAACAATCACAATAGTTGATAACTGAAGTGAAATGTACTCCAATATTTTCTATGTTTGTTTACAGAAATTGTAAATTGATTATGATAAATTCATGCAATCAATGGATCTTACATTTTCACCGATTTTTAAATCGGGTCGTTCTATTATTTTTACTTTGGAATTTTCTCTATTATTTTTCTTAATTAATAACTTTTGTTAAATTCATGTAGGACAGAGTCTGCAATATTTAAACTATAAAAAAAACACTCTTATAATCTCATCACAGAAAAAACAGTATCCTTGAGAGAATGCAAATATAATTTGATTCAAGTATATTTTATCCTTATATTAGCGCCAAATATAAATAATTTTGGATAAAGGATAATTTATCCTTAAAACAAAGTGCAAAACATTCTTGGTTGAAGCTGAAATTTACTTATAAATATTGCAAGGACAAGTGACAAGTGTGCATCGGATATAAGCGGTACTTTCAAATATATATAATAATTCTTAGTTCAAATGTGACTAAGTTTGTTTTACCGTATGCGATTTTCAAACAAGAATATATCTTAAGGATAAAATATACTTTACACAAACTTATTTATTATTAAGGCAAATGAAAATTTGTGATTACAAAGAGCGTTCTATGTTTAAATCAATCAAATAGCGTTCAGGAATAAATATACTTGAATCAAGGATTCCTTTTTTTCTATAAGTCATTGTGTCTTCTCCTAATCCGAATAGTCATTTCTCAAGAAATCTATCGATTTTTTCCCGATATTGAATTTTTCTAAAAGAGTAACAGTACAATCTGTGATCGGATTGAAGAGCACAGAAAAAACAGTATCCTTGAAAGAATGCAAATATGCCTTGATTCAAGTATATTTTATCCTTATATAGCGCCAAATATAAATAATTTTGGATAAAGGATAATTTATCCTTAAAACAAAGTGCAAAACATTCTTGGTTGAAGCTGAAATTTACTTATAAATATTGCAAGGACAAGTGACAAGTGTGCATCGGATATAAGCGGTACTTTCAAATATATATAATAATTCTTAGTTCAAATGTGACTAAGTTTGTTTTTACCGTATGCGATTTTTCAAACAAGAATATATCTTAAGGATAAAATATACTTTACACAAACTTATTTATTATTAAGGCAAATGAAAATTTGTGATTACAAAGAGCGTTCTATGCTTAAATCAATCAAATAGCGTTCAGGAATAAAAATATACTTGAATCAAGGATTCCTTTTTTTCTGTGATGCTGAATGTATAATTGCTGTTATGACTATTGACATTTTTGTGAACATCGATGCTTACAGGATCTCATGACGAAGACCAAGCAGCGATATCGATGGCGTTTGCTGATCTGCGGCATCGTCATCATCGTCGTCCTGGCTCTGGTGATCGCCGCGGCGATTCTTCTGACCGGCAGTCCTGATTCCGCTGCGTCGAGAACAAACAGCGCACCCGGTATCTCCCTGGAGGAATGGCTGTCCGGTTCCTTGTCTCCCAAGAGCTTCAACGGCACGTGGATCAGTGGTAAGTGCTGCACTTTGTGTTCTCTAGAAGCGAAAGAAATGTGCGCCAATTTGTTTGTACCACCAGAGATCGCCGACTTTCGACTTCTTCCTCGATTCATTATTGAGGAGCTTTGAAACGCGCGAATAATGCGTTGGATGTACGCTGTAAAGAAAATATGTGAAATTACATAAATAATAAATGTAAAATTACATGATAAATAATGAAAACGTTTCTATTATTTATCGTGTAATTTTACATATTTTTGTGTAATGTATTACATATTTTTTTACAGTGTAGAAAAAACCTTGCTTTTAACGGAGGCGTTCTTTTAAATGAATTTATTTTCCATGAAATAAAAATATATAAATTATATATATATATATTTGTAGATTGTAAAATTTGTAGATGCTAAGCCGTGAGATAAAAAACTGTAAAAATAAAGGTGCGCAAGGTGTTGAAATATAGATGCAACATCAGCGTGTGTTTTTGTACGTTTACGAAAACACTTTTTTGATGATTTAATATAGCTTAGGATCGTTTTAAAAGTACGTGATAATTTTTAACGTGTCTCAGCTACACTAAAAGTTTTACCATTTCGAATAATGAATGAATTAATTCTGCGACTAAGTTTTTTTTTAGCAATAAATTCGAGTCTTTTTTTTTTTATTTCATTTTTTATACTTTACGTTCTGAATTTTTTGAAATTAAAAAAAATTAACTTTTGATATTTTTAAAGAGAAGATTACGCAGTTGTTGCTTTTTCCAAATTAGGAGCTCAACGATTTACAATTCATGAACGGCCGTAGCTTCAATGGTCGCGAAAAAACAGCGCTTTAAAATGAGATTCGAACGTAAAACTCGTTTGCCGATACGTTAACGTTGGGTTATTGTGTTTCGCGTACGTGCACACGCGAATCTTTTTCGAGAGAGCATCAACAGAGTAACAACCCTTCCCGAGTGTTGTTTTTTCGGCATGCGCGATTTTTCCTCCGTTTTGCTCGTATAATAAAATTATCATATACCATAAATCTCTCGTGCGCGGGAGAGACAAAAGTCGCCCGGGTCTTTCCGCGCGAGAACGGAAAGAACGTCAAATTATATCACGAAACGTATGTCAGAGTTTGTCCGTCTCTCTCTCTCTCTCTCTCTCCATTCGCGTATTATATAACATCAAAAGAGGATAATAAATGATTCGTGCGAGGATCCCGCACAAAAGCGGACACCGAATATTTATTTCGTATATTTTTTTTTTCGTCCCTTTTTTTGTGAATAGGGCGCCGAGGTGTCTCGTCGTTGAAGCGCGCGCGAAGTTCAAACTAATTTTATATTTGAGGCGGCGCGCGCGCGCGCGCGTTCGGCCATTCTGCTTCATTCGCGGATCCATTTGTCTTTGTTACGGCACAAACCGCCGACACCGCTGTCGCGGGGGCCTATAAATCCTTTCGTCAGGTATACGGGGAACAAAAGACGGGTTTTAATGGATTTACGCTGCGCGGCCAGCTCCCTCTTTCATCCCCTTTCCGTATCTTCCTGCTCTGTCGTTTAATTCTTTTTTTTTCCTCTTTTTTTCTGCTCGAAAAAGCCCCCTTCTCCATTTTTCCCCTTCGCGAGAGTAATTTCGCGGCCGTCCGAAAATCCGCGGGAGAGGATATTTCGGCGCGAAGAGATCCGAAATTAAACGTCGTTCCGAAAAAAATTGTCGTCGCGCGTTTTCGCATGGATTCGCCGAAAAAGTCGTACGACTTGCAGAGCGAATGCAATCTGCGAATATATCCGACCGTTCGATATCAAATGCATAAAGTATGACAGAAATGGGCCCCGATACGTCGGGAGCGTATTCTGCTCGAAATGAGCAGAAAATTCATATAAACGTGTGCCTGAAAAAATACATCATTTTTACAACATATGTTATAATCGTGTTCGGATCGAAATTAAAATAGTTGCACAAAGCGTATTATATTTTATTTCCAAAAACATAAAATAGTAAAAAAAGTAATATTCTCGTATCTCGAAATAATTTATTCTTAAATAAAATGGGTAAATTGTTTTTATCCAAAAATTTCCCATAAACACCTGTCAAACGTCTTGACAAAATAAAGGACCTTTTTTGAGTCTATCTAATCATAAATTTTTAAAAATTTTGCTTTTAATTGGTTTGTTAATATATAAATAATTATTCCATCCCCTTCTCCCCAAAAACAATTATTTTTCATTAAAATATTTCTCAGCAAAAGCTAAAACGTTTCGAAAAATAATATCAATGTAACGAATTTTGTTGGCTGTATTTTATTAAATTGAACGTCCCACGAATAATAATATTTCGAATATAATTTTAAATTTACAAAAGTGGACTTGTGGAAATAACTTGCAAAGCTACCCGATCATTTTATTTTTACGTATTTATTTTCAATGTTTTTCCTACACGGTATGTATCGTACGTCATACATCGTACGTTTGTTTTATAACTCGTGGATTTTATCAAGTTGTTCCAAAACAAAGCATTGCTCTCATTTATAAATTCGTTTAACGTACGTACGACAAAAATGTAACTATTGTATTATTGCAATTATATACTTATTTGAATTTTTAAATAAAATATTTAAGAATTGTTCCGTAACGAGAATTAAATATTTGATAATTACTTATTGCAATAATCGCTCGCTTTTTGCGTAATATAGCAAACATAAAGTGTAGGTTACCTTTTTTTTTTTTAAATTATAAATTATATTTAAAAAATCTCGCGTGCGCTTTTTTTCTCTTTCCTGTTTTGGAATAAATTAATTTTTGTTACAAGTGATTTAATAATTCTGAACGCTATTTATTCTTATCTGGAAATGATGCACAGTAATATATAATAGCAAATTTGAATACACTAATGTGCACACTAATGTGCGTTTTAAAGGCCATTGTACGCAAATTGATATAAAAGCATATAAACGGTTCGCCGAATGAAAACGCAGCATAAATCATCCTTCTATTCGGCAGAATTTATACCGGACGTTTTATGCTGATTAAGATATTTTCATTTTAAACTTACGCGTTTGCATAAAATTTCTGACGAACTTATTTATATGTATAAATCGATGTTTGTATTGTATTCAATCAAAATTTACATCACAAGTTACAGAATATAAACATGTGTAATACTAATTCAATATCGTGAAATTGGAAAATATCAGCCTCTATTTTTTTATCTTGATTTTATTATATATATATATATATATAAATTAATTTAAATTATATATTATAATATATATATATATATATTATAATATATAATTTAAATTAATTTATATATATATATATATATATATAATAAAATCAAGATAAAAAAATAGAGGCTGATATTTTCCAATTTCATTATAATATATATATATATATATATATATATATATATATATATATATATATATATATATTATAATGCAAGTCGCAGTTTAGCAATTTTCAGCTTTTCCGTGGTGGAAGATACAGAATTACTGCATATATATATATATATATATATATATATATATATATACGTATACATAGAACATACATACATACATTCGAAATCCACGGTAAGAGTTGCTGACACACTGCGAACTGTCACTTGTTTTGATGTTGAGGCGGTGGTTTCTACCGCATGCGCTGCCCAAAATAGTGACATACTGGAAAAGAGAGGAACAAGAAGAATATACTGTCAGAAAATAGACTTGAGAGGTATATATCCGGATATCCCGCCTCGAGAGATATTTTTTGAAAAATGTTGAATCCATTTCTTTTACTACATTTAATCATCCTATAATGCAAAATAAATTCTTCCGAATATTGACGAGCCTCTAATAATTAATTTAATAATTTTTAAATTACATTAATTATACACGGGATGCTATTATACGAGAGAATTGTCTTTTAAAATTTGCCCTGAAAATCATGGTAATCGTGCGACAATATATGGTATTGAAAGAATCTTATAAGAATTTCTCTGATTAATATTTACCACAATAAAAATATTAATATGTAAATACATAGTAAATATTAATCAGAGAAACTTTTATAAGATTCTTTCAATACCATATTTTCTCTGTGTATAAAATTATTATATAGTATTATATCAAATTATTGTAAATCTATACAGGTATATTGCGAAAAAGGAACTATCTCTCTCACTGGTTTTGTCTAACAATAAGTATATAGAAAGCGCAAATAATTGCATGTGGCGGTACAATAGACTTATTGTTGTACCTAAATGGAGATCGCGCGGTGTTTTACGCCGCACTCTCTCTCTCTCTCTCTCTCAGCAGTTCTCCCTTAACGATGATAAAGTTCCGCGCATTCGTAGTGATTACGGGAAACGGCAAAATATATTTCCACCGAACTCGATACTCTCGAAACGCATCTCTGCGTCGATCAATATAATTACGACAATGCGCGTGGAAGCAACGCTCGATCTAGAAAAGCTCGCGTTCTCTATTTCTCTCTGCGTTTTCGCATCTCTTCCCTTTTGTAGCTCGTGGCGAGATGGGCGCCTCTTAAAAAGTAACGAGGTCGAGTCCATTCGGGCCAAGGAATCAGAGAAACTCACGTAAAATGTATTAATGGTGCCTGTCGGAAATCCCCATACCATCTGAAATTTTCTCTCTCTTTCTCTGCTGTAACATTATTTTGCGTGTCCTTCTTCTTAACGATTCGGTTCATTATTTTTCGGTAATATATGAATTAAGCTCTCGCGGTATCGTCGATTTTATTAAACAAGTATATTTAATATTGAATAAGACTTATTATTAAATCGCAGTTTGACGCGAACGCAAAGTTACTTTTTTTCTTCTTCTTACGCCGGGTTGATGACAAATTTATCAGCTTATTTGTTGAAGCATTTTTTTTTACCCGCGAGTGTGTGTGAAATTTTATCGAAATTAAAATATTTTGAAAAATTTATACTTGAAGGACAATACGATAATATAAAATTATTATTTTTCACCATATTTGCAGCGAAATATTAATTGTACTAATATTATATACACAGAGTTTATAAA